CTTGGCTGTCCTAATACTAATACTCACGATGTAGACCAGGCTGGTCTTGAACTCACAGAAATCCATGTGCCTCTGCCTCCCAAGTGCTAGTACTAAAGATTTGTGCCACCACCACCTAGCTAATTAGTTATTTTTCTTAAAAGTATGTGTGTAGGGGCTGGGAAGACAATGTTAAGAACACTCACTGCTCTTGCAGAGGGCACCACGGTTCCATTCCCAGCACCCACATGAGACTCAGAATCATCTGTAACTCTGATTCCAGGGGATCCAATGCCCTTTTCTGGCCACCACAGGCATGCACATCCTGCGTTCTGCATGGATAGACGTAAAAACACTCATAAAATAAAGAAAAATAGTTACAAAATGTATGCCTGTGTGTTTGGTGCATGATAGTGCAGTGCCCACAGAGGATGGAGCAGGGAGTCTGATTTCTTGGACCTGGAGCCAGAGGTGCTTCATGGGTCCTGGGAACTGATCCAGGGTGTTGTTAAGAGCTGTGGGTGTTCTTAATGTCTGTGCAATGACTCCAGGCCCCCTGGTGATTTTAGTTGAGACATAGTCACTATGTAGCTTTCATTTGCTGTCCTGAAACTCACTATGCAGAACAGGCTGGCCCCAAACTCAGAGACCTGCCTGCCTCTGCCCTCCCTTATATTTTAATTAGGGGGAGGAGACACAGTTTACGGCAAGCACCAAATAAGCTCAGAGCACATCAGTTCATCCATTGTCCATAGTTCCTAGATGTGCTTGAGTAGGAACATGGTGCTACCAAGGGTTTGCAAAAGGGAATAACTTATTTCCATTGTTTACATGGACAATTACCATTCTGGTGGGGACCCTAGGTTGCCAGCGGTTGCTAGGTGCATCATTAAAAGAAGGGCCTGTGTGAAGGATACAGGTGATGGTCTTGGGCGCCCAGTGTGCTGTTTGAAGAGGGTTGCACGCATAGTCCAAACCAAGTGGAGTTCCTAAACTGAAGCGTGATCCTAATTAGTTTTATCAATTAAAAACCAACAGCTATCAGGGCAAAAACCTGAAAGATCAAAGAACCGGCAGCAGTGGCCAGTTCCTTCCTTCCTCTTTCCAAGCACTGGGATTAAAGACATGGGTCACCACTGCCCAGTTTCTATGGTTTACTAGTAGCTAACTCCACCCTCTTATCTCCAGGTAAGCTTTATTAGTTAGAATGTAAACTATCACACAGAACTAAACTTGGCTAAGAGGTTGCTGAACTGTATTCCCTATGCTTGACTGCCTCCCTAACCATTCACTATGTAGGTCAGGCTGGCCTTGGACTTGCACTCATCCTCCTGCCTCTGCCTCCTAAGTGTAGGAATTGTAGGAGTGCACTACTATACCCAGGTAATTTCAATTCAAAACTGAATTTATTGAAACTACGAATTCCACCCTTCTGCTATGCAGGGACCCCACTCTCCTCTTGCCCTCGTAGAGCCACATGGAAACTTCTTTCTGGAACTCAGAAAGAAAATAATTCCGAGGTCTGAGGAAATGGTTGGGGGGGAAGAGCACTTGCGGTGAAAGCGTAAGACCATGAGTTTGAATCTTCATTACCCACATAAGTGCTGGACAAACATTGCTATGGTTTAGATAAAAATGCTGCACTGTCCTCGAGTGGCAGCAGTGGGTAGCAGACCATGAGGTCACACCGCAGGTCCTGTGACCACAGGGCGGGCCATGAAGGCAGTCCCAGGAAGAGAGCCTACAGGCCCACAGGCCGTGAGGGCCAGCGGGTCCTAGGCATGGAGCCGAGCCGCATGGCGGATGAGAGACGGAGACAGATAGGCACACCATGCAGAGAAGTGGGTATTTATTTAGTGGGTTATGGAGGGGTAAGGGAAAAGGGGAGATGGGAAAGAGCAGAATGGGGGGGGGGAGAGGGAGAGAGAGAGGGGGAGAGGGAGAGGGAGAGGGAGAGGGAGAGGGAGAGAGAGAGAGAGAGAGAAGGGGGTGGGGAAGAGGAGCCAGAACAGCAGCTACTTCTTCCTGGGCAAGACAGAAAGACAGGAAGATCTGCCTGCCTCAGCAGTGGGGGGTGGGGTGGGCAGGGCTTGTCTCTTAAAAGAATAGGACAGACCATTACAGACTTGACACTCCACCTGTAACCCCAGTGCATAGCAGCAGAGACAGGGGATCCCAGAATAAGTTGAATCCTGGGCTTCACACCCAGCACTACATAAGTGGGGCCTGGTGGAAACAACAGTAATCTTAGCACTGGAAAACCAGAAGGCAGAGGGATCAGAAATTCACAGCCATCTGCAGCTGTACAGCAAGTCTGAGGCCAATCTGAGAGATCCTGTCTCAAAAAACAAAGAGCAAGTCAAGCTGGAAAGTGTTGCACACCTTAAATCCCAGTACTAAGGAGGCAGAGGCTGGGAGATCACTGGGAGTTTGAGGCCAGTCTGGTCTAGAGGGAGTTCCAGGACAGCCAGGGCTACATTGAAGAGATCTGGTCTCAAAAAAAAGAAGGGGAGAGATGGAAGGGACCAGGAAGTTGACACAAAGCACCTACAGTCTACTTATTCTTGGGTTGGGGGGGGGAGGCGGGATAACAGGAAATACATAGGAATGATCCTAGAACTTGGAAGATAGAGGCTGGAGGACCACCTGTTAAAGTTAGCCTGGGCTACAAGATCATCTTGAAAAAAAAAAAGATGAATATTTGTGTTTTTGAGTGCTGGAGAATGTCACAAGCTCCTTGCTTGCTTGCTGTCACTCTTTCTGCCTGGGGACACATGGAGGCCCGAGGGTGTTAAAGACACTGTGACTTCACATGTGAATGGTGGATGAGGTGACTCCAGAGCAGTGCTTCTCAACCTTCCTAACGCTGCGACCCTGTAACTCAGTCCCTCATGTTGTGGTGACCCCAACCATAAAATATTTTCACTGCTACTTCATAACTAATTTTGTTACTATTATAAATCATAATGTAAATGTCTGAATGCAGAAATGTCTGACACACGACCTCCCCAAAGGGCCGTGACCCACAGGTTCAGAACCACTGTTCTAGTCTTGAGGGTGGGAACCCCGTCTAACAGGTTCAATGTCTTATGAGACACTAGAGTGCTCCTCTGCCCTCCCTGTCCCCTGCTCCCTTACCCTGCATGCACTTAGGAAGAGACCCTGTAAAGACAGTCAGATGCAACTTAGGCAAGACAGGAAGAGCGTCTACCAAGGACTGAATCTACAGGAAACTTCATCTTTGACCTCTCACATTCTAGAACATTTAGGGAAAATGTGTTAAGCCAAGTTCATAAGTTATTTTGTTGGGTTTTAAATTTATTTTTAAATTATGATTTTCTTTTTTAAGACAGGGTTTCTCTGTGTAGCTTTGGAGCCTGTCCTGGAACTTGTTCTGTAGACCAGACTGGCCCAAACTCACAGAAATCTGCCTGTCTCTGCCTCCCAAGTGCTGGGATTAAAGGTGTGTGCCACTACCATATATACTTTTTTCTTAAAAAAAATTATTTATTTATTATGTATACAATATTCTGTCTGTGTGTATGCCTGCAGGCCAGAAGAGGGCACCAGACCCCATTACAGATGGTTGTGAGCCACCATGTGGTTGTTGGGAATTGAACTCAGGACCTTTGAAAGAGCAGGCAATGCTCTTAACCACTGAGCCATCTCTCCAGCCCCCATATATACTTTTAAGAGCACTGGTTGCTTTTCCAGAGGATCCAGGGTCTTCACCTAGCACCCAAATGGCAGCTCAAAAATCCAGTTCTAGGATGCAGTGCCCTTTTCTGGGCTCTGAAGGCATCAAGTACACAGATATGCATGCAGGCAAAACACTTTAAGCACAGAAAATAGAAAATAAATCTTTAATTAAAAATAGCTATGTTGCTGGGTGGTTGTGGTGCATGCCTTTAATCCCAGCACTCGGGAAGCAGAGACAGCTGGATCTCTGTGAGTTCAAGGCCAGCCTGGTCTACAGCGTGAGTTCCAGGACAGACTCTAAAGTTACAAAGAAACCCTGTCTCAATAAAATAAAATAAAATAAAATAAAAAGCTATAAATAGCCGGGCTTGGTGAGGTACATTTATGATCACAGCCTATGGGAGGGTGAGACAGAGGAATTGCATGCAGGAAGTTTATAAGGCCAGCCTAGGCTTCACAGGTGAACCATGTCTCAAACAAACAAACAAGAAACAGTATCATTACATCTAAGCCCCTTTAGAGCCTTGAGCACATCTTGCTCTAGCATGTTCAGGGCACAAGCATCGGACACAAACCTGCCTTGTTTGGTGACGAATGCCTCATGTCTGGCTTCCAGATGCAACTCTCTTCCCCACCCCAGCTTTGCAAATGCGACTGTGTGCTGCTGGGCTGAGGATATAGCTCAGTTGATAGCATATGCCTGTGATCTTAGCACTAGGAAGACAGGAAGGCCATGAGTTCAAGGTCATCCTTAGCTATATGAACTGAAAACCAATGAAACCCTGCCTCAAAAACAAAACACCAAAACAAACAAAAATTCAGGATTGCTAGCCAGGGAAAAGATCCAAATTCAAAGTACACTGAATAGGCACACTCTAGTGTCAAAAGTCAAGCTGAACCATCTTTATCTGTAGGTGTGTGTACGTACCTACATGTTTCTATATACATCCATGTGCTCACAGAGACAAAGTGGGGCTTGGTAGTGTGCACCTGGAATCCCAGCACACAGAAAGGAAAGGCAGGAGGACCAGGAGTTCAAGGTTTTTCCTTTCCTTTACTTCAGGTCTAGCCTAAGGTGGTCTCAAACTCATCATTCTCCTGCCTCAGCCTTCCAAGTGCCAGGATCACATGCCTGTGCGGGTCTGGCTATTGTTGTTGAGTATCTGGGGGCTGGGGATGTGGCGGGGGGCCTAGTCCTCCACAATGGGCACAAAGTCCTGGGCTTGGCTCACTGTAATGAAACAACTGAGAGCCCTGCTACACTCCACCCCCACCTTGTTTGTTCCCTGGCAGGGCAGAAATGAGACTAGACTGGCAGGCTGTTTAAAATAACTGCATCCTTTAATGGCAGTAATACAATTACTGGATTAAGAGACCACATGAGAGAAGGCAGGTGAGGTTTCTGGAAGACAGATACTGAGTACAAAAGGGGGCGGGAGAGCCATGCGACGATCATTGTAAAAATACAGTACGTTATATACATATTTGCACCATCGACTTTCAACTCAGAAATGCTATTTACACTTTTGTTACAATCCTGGTTAGAGAACAATTTTTCTTTAAAAGTGTGGCCTGCTGGCGAGTGGGGATTCAGGCGGAGTTCCTTGTCCCAGGAGGGTCTTCGTCTGACTATTCCAAGAGGAGGAATAGTTCCTCTCACCCACAGATTTCAGATTTAAAAATTCATTTAATTTTCCTTTAACAAAAGAAAAATTTTATTTTTCTAATGTAGACCAGCCTGGCTTTGAACTCGTGATCCTCCTGCCTCTGCCTCCTGAGTGCTGGGATGACAGGTAGGCACGACCAAGCCTGGCTTTTACAAAAGAGAACTTTCAAAGGGGTGGGGTGGGATCAGAACACTGCCACACTACTCTTCTATCCTACACTTACCACAGCCCCAGTCTTGGAGGCCAAGGCTGGAGTCCAAAGACAAATCTCATTGATGATTGTTTAAGAAAACAAAACAAAATAAAAAACACAAAGACAACCGAAACCAACCTGATCTTGGTGACTGACCCCACAGGGTGTTAGCCTGTGGGCACAAGCCCCTCCCACCCCAGCTTCAGGCCCAGAATTGTTTTGAAGGGATTTCTCTTTGGGATGTGGAGGGCATTGGGGGAGGGGCGAGTGGGGATGTGGCAGCCTGTCTCCCCCTGAGGCGGAGGGGACCCACTGGCTGTGTGTCAGGTTTCCTTATCACCAAAAGGAAGCAGCTGAGCCCATAGACCCAATATAGAAAAGGCAGGCTACAAGAAAGCAGACCTCTAGGGCTTGGCGAGTGACTCAGACATAGAAAGGCCTGCAGCAGGTCTTATCCAGTTCCCCAACCAATCTTGGGGACATGGTCACAGGAAGTCTCCCCTGGGGCTCTGGTTAAGGCCAGACCTAAGGCTACCAGTAGGGGAGGCTGTGGCAATGCCTCCGCTGACTGGGATCTGGCAGATGCCTTAGGCCTTCCCACCCCAAGTTTCCTTTCCTAGAAAGGACCTACACACCACTTTGGCCCCAGACTCTACTGTTTCCTCAGGCCCCCTTTTGGAAAGCACCCACTAATCCAACACCGCAACAGACAGCTGATGCCCTGCTTCGGTCGGTTTGGGAGGGAAAGCAAACACTATCTGGTACTCTACAGGGAACACGGCTAAGGCGCATGAAAGCAGCAAGCAGACACACTTTGCCAGGGCCACCCTTGGCCTCCCTCCTCGGGAGTCTGGCAGGTGGCGACACCACGGATCCTTGAGCTGTCTCGAGGGTCAGGCCAGTGGCACTGGACAGGTAATACTGAGGGAGAATGCTTTGAGAGGCTGCCCCACCCCTCTCAGGCCTACAGGCTGCAGGTCTGTCTCACCCAGAGTCTCCTGGAGGGCTATAGGGTGTCACTTTCAGGACAAACCCTGGAGGGAGGATGCACAGGCCCAAGCAGGTTAGGACCAGGACCAGGACCTTTTTCTCCTCTGGACATTTTCTCACTTCTCTGTTGCTCTGTCCTGAAGCAGGCTGTCACAGGCTGCATGCTGAATAGCAGCCAGCTCACCCTGGGGCTTTAGAAACTCCTACACCGGCTTCCACCAAATGTGCTTTAGTCCTCTCCCAGCAGCACAGGGTGAGTGGCTTTCAGTGCCTTCCCAGACACTTAGGCTTCCCTTAGTTCCAGGAAAGCCCCAGGCTGGGTACTTGCCACTGTCCAACGCAGGGCACAAGTTGCTCACTAGGCAGAGAGAGCCCAGGAGCCTGTAGCACTGACCAGAACCCAAGACGGTTAGATACAATTTATGACTCAAAGAAAGTACTACTTAAAAAGGAAGAAAGGGAAGAAAAATGTTAAGAAAGAACACCCTGCCTGTCCCCCACCCGTAACTCTGGTTGCTGCCCTTAATTGTCACCCTGGAAGGGTGGTGGAGTGGAGGGAGCACTGGCTCCAACAGATACTACTGGCAAAAGGGGGAGGCTGTGGGGTCAAAGCCTTTAAAAACGTCCTTCAGGGAGCCTGCATCCTGTTCACCCTCACGAGCAGGGCTGTTGCCAGCAAATGGGCTTCCTGTGCCTGTTTTGGGGGCAGGCTTCACAGTACCAAAGAGGGTGGGCACTGGCAGGTTGTGCACTCCAGGTTGGGGTGTGGCCCCCTCAGGGGGCGGGGTAGATGAGGCAGCAGTGGGTGCTGCAGTGGCCTTGGGCCGGGGCCGGTTGTAGCTATTGTATCTGTCCGTGGCTGTGGCCCCATCTGTGCTCACCTTCCCTGTCTCTGGCTGCTCCAGGGCAGACTTGCGGACAAACGGAGGCTCTTTTGCCTTGGAGGCTGAGCTCTTGCCGTTGCCCTCAGGACCCTTGGGCTGAGCACTCGCGTCAGAGGCTGGCTCTGCAGCTTTGCCACCTGCATTGGGAGTCCTTGGGTCATACAAGCTGATGCCACTCAGCACACTGCTCTGCCCACTGCTGCTGCCCTGGCCCAGGCCACCAGCTGCTAGCACTCGGGGGTCATAGGGAGCTGTGGCTGGTGGGGATGAGTCTCCACTTGGGCTGGCAGCAGGAGGTGATGCTTCCGTAGAACAGGGCTTGGTTGCACGGGATGTTGAAGCAGGATCTGCTGACTTCTGTAATCTGGGATCCGTAGGGGTCTTCCGCACCCTGGGGTCGCTGGGTTTGTCACTCTGGCCAGGGGTGTTGACATTGACAGTCTTGAGGATTCGAGACAGGAGTTCAAAGTCAGGTAGGTTAGAGCCAGATGTGTTGGGATCTGTGGAGCCTGGACGCTGCCGGGTGTTGGGAGGCCCAGGAGGTGTGGAGCGGTGCAGCCTGGGATCCAGGGCAGGCAGGGACTGCAGGGCAGCAGGCACCGGGGGCACGTCCTGCTTGGGGATGGGCAGGGGGATCAGGTCCTCAGGGTTCCAGAGCACAGTGCGGGCAAAGCTTGGCTTGCTCAGGGTCACATCTTTCTTAATGTGGCTGAACTGCTGCAGCTGAGAGCGAGGGTCCCGCAGTGGGTGCCCAGGCAGGGGGTCCAGGGGAATGTTCACTGCCTTCTCGCGCAAGGCCCGCTCCCCTTCCTCTTCTTCTGCAGTGGTCTGTCCTTTTGAACTGCTGGGGCCCGCAGGGCTGGAATGAAGGTTGCCTTCAGTCTTGGAGGTGGGCAGGGCACGAGCCAACCGAGGGTCAGAAGGCCCTGAGTCCCCTGGGCCAGTCCCTCCTGAAGTCTCTGCATGGCGGCTGAGTCTGGGGTCACGACTGAGTCTGGGGTCAGCCAGCCGGCCTCCTGTGGGGTGTCCCTTCTGCAAACGGGGATCCCCCAGCCCACTGCTGCTCGGTTCCCCAGTTGAAGCTTGGGGTCGGCTTGATGTCTGTTGCCTCAAGGTCTTGAGGATAGATGTGACACTGCTTCCCCCCTCATCCTCGTCACTTGAGTACCAGTTTCCGGTGTCACCTGAGAGAGAGCAGAATAGTGGGAGGCATGAATGGCTATATCCCATAAGCCTTGTGGACCCCTTGGTGCCCTGGTGTGTGGTTCTGTGCTGTTAGTTAGCATCTCCTATGGCCCCGGTTGGGAGCCAGGGGTGCACAACCTGGCTCTGGGTGTTGATATCATTGTGGCTTCTCTCTCAGGCCAGTACCATCCCTGGTAGGTGGTCTGACCTGAATAACTCACACATCATCCCAGGAGGTCCTATCATCAACATGCTCACTAGACAGATGAGGAAATGGAGGTATTGTGCCATTAGGTCAGGGTAAGGCTGGGCCTCAGAGCCCAGGGTCCTACTGTCTTTTCCCACCCTTCAGGCAGGTTTGGTCCAGACCAGCTCTAGTCACTTCTCTCTAGAGGTCTGGACAGCAGCCATGCTGACAGCTCACATACACATCCCCAGAACCTTCAAAATAGTCCAGGGGTCAGGGAAGAGTAAGTGCAACCACAAACAGATCCAGGAGGGAAACCTGAGCCACCAGGGAGGGGCCGCCAACTTTGTCTTTCCTCCTGTTGTCCCCACTGGCTTGCTCCAAATTCCTGAGACCCTTGGTCCATTCAGCCCTAAAGTGGATGTCACTGGGGTGACCACTTGAGCCTTGACTACACCACTGGTGATCCGTATTTCTATGGCTAGCTGGCCCATCTTTGGCTTTGAATTCCCAAGTATGTGTTCTAGGGATCGGGCCATGAGCTTCAGGAAGGGCACTGTCTCTGCTAGGAACCAGCCCACCACCCCTCCTACTGAGTCAGGAGTCTCCCGAACCCAAGACACAGAGGAACCCTGGCCTCCATTTCCTCAGCGTGAGGCAGCAGCTCAGGACAGGCCTCCCTGCCAAGCTTCTTTCAGACACAGCACCCAGCCAAGGTGCCCCCCCTCGTCCCTGCACAGAGCCGGCTGGGCCCCTGCCGGGGGACACATGCCTTCCTCATTCTCCCGGTCCTGCTTGCTGCTCTCAGCCAGCCTCCTCGCTCTCTCCTCCTCCTGCTGCTTCTGCTGGATCCTCAGGTACAGAGCCCTCTGGGCCGAGGGCAGGAAGTCGGGGACACCGGCGCCCGCCTTCAGCTGGCCTGGGGGCCCTCCCTCGGGGAAGCTGTCGGGCTCCAGAGGGTGCTCGGGGAAGAGGGGCTCCCCAGGCTGCCCCGGCAGCTCTTCGTAGTGCCCGTAGTCCTCTGTGGCAGGGAAGAGGGTTTGTGTCGGGAAGGCCTCCGTTGGAAAAGCCAAGCTGGGTGGCGAGTGCGAGGATGAGGATGGTCACCCGTCCCTTCCTCCTCCCCAGGCCTGGGTGCCTTGAGAGTCCAGCAGGAGCCCACAGTGGGTCAGCTGGCAGGGAAAGGATGAGGCTCAAGGAGGGCATGGTGGATGCTTATGGATGTCAGCACAACTGCGTGCATATGCCTCAGATAGAAACTCCCTGTAGACAGGCCATATCCCTTTCAGGCTAGGTAGCTGCTGCTGTCCTCACAGGAAGCAGGCTTGGTTCATCATCTGCCATGAGCTGTCTCATGGTTTTCTGAAGGCATGTTCAACTGTTTGACATCGTGATGTGGTATCATCTACAAAGTTCATGCTTGAGAAAGCACGTAATCAAAGTAAAAATAATCTCGCACAAAAAGGTCCTGAAACTGTCTAATAGAGCAGTCTTGCTTTGAACTCACAGAGATCCACCTGCCTCTGCCTCTCAAGTGCTGGGACTGAAGGTGTGAGCCATCATGGTCAGCCTAGTCATAAAGGTTATTAGGTTTAAGATTTTTTTTTCCCGAAACACAGTTTCTCTGTGTAGCTTTGCAGTCTATCCTGGAACTAGCTTTTGTAGACCAGACTGGCCTTAAACTCACAGAGATCCGCCTGCCCCTGCCTCTCAAGTGCTGGAATTAAAGGCATGGTGCCACCACCGCCCCGTCTAGGTTTAAGATTTTGTGTTATGTTGCATTCACATCTACTCTTAGCTGCATGCAGTGCCCAAGCTGCAGGTTGGACATGCCTGTAAGAAAGAAAATCGGTGTATCTCCCAGAAGCAGAACCAGAAGAGAACAAAACTCACTAAAAACCTCAGTACAGCTCAGGGCACCCCCTCTCTCCTCTCTGTCCTCTAGGGTTCCTGGACACTAGAATTACTGAGTATATAGGCAGGCACGGCAGATTCCCTTGCATGGCCACAGCAAGTCTTCCCTCCCTCACCAACCAGCTCTACTATGTGCATTAGACACAGTACCATTATCTTACCGCAACTCCCCGAATGTAGAATGGTGAGCCAGAGTTTGTTAAGAGCCCCACTCTGTTCCTTCCACATGTGGTAAGGACTCTTATCCAGCTGGGGCAATATACTGAGCATCAGAGATGTAGTCCATGCTACCAGGAAAAGCCAGTCTGGTATTTTAAATAGTTTAACTTGAGACACTGGCGCCTGGAAAGATGGTTCAGTGTGCTACTGTTGCACAACTGGACATAAGGCAAGGCAAGACATGGCAACAGCCTGTAATACCAGTGCTTGGGAAGCAGGCAGGGTATTCCTAGATCTAGCTAGCCACAGACTAGCTGAAATGGCGATTTCAAGTTCAAATGAATTACTATGATGATCTCTAAGTTGAAATGATTCTCTGCCTCAGTATATACAGCCAACTGACGTCAACCTGGTCTGTACACAGGTGCCCTATGCTCATGTGCACCCCACATACACAAACACACACACACCACAAACTGCAAAACTGGTAAATATTCACACACAGTGATAGGAGGCCTACTGCCACAGCCTGAATTTGGTCAGTACATGAGCCTAATGAAACCGAATTTATGCTCAGTCACAGGCTGAGGCTCCACCTCCACAGAACACAAATTACAAGAAGGCCACAAAGGTGTGCAGAAACCACAGAAGCTCTGTGCTCTAAAGGGTGCCTCCTGCAACTCAGATGACGAACTCACTTTCTATGGCGACACCTACCATCAACAAGACAACTAACGCAGACCAGGTACTAGTACCTCAATCTTGGCGGCCTGTCTTTTCCAGCATCTCTTAAAAGCCTTACTCTTTACCATACGTATATGCCATGCATACACTATGGTTGTTCAAGCCCACACACAGGTTTCTTGTGCTTTGAGGCAGTAGTGATATTCACATTCAAAAGACCAGCCTGAGTTTCGGTAAAGGTCTGTCTATGCTTGGACCCATCCTCCAAGATGCTCCTTCCAACCCTACACAGCACATACAGGTCACACTGGCTCCAAAGTGCCATGTACAAAACACATGACCTGTCTCTGGACTCTTGGCTGTCTCCATGCCACCATCTGGGCACAACTGCTGTAGGCAACTCCATGGAGGCCTGGGAATTTCCTCCACTGTTCTGATTGTTTGGTAGTCTCACTATATCCAGGGCTGGCCTAGAACTCGAAGTGGTCCACCAGTCTCAACCTCCTGAGTGCTGGGAACCACCACAGGAACGTATGTCCCGTGGCCCCGCATTGTTCTGTAGAGTAGGCAAAGCCACTACTGCCAGGTGACACACACTCCTTCCTTTATAGCATAAGCATTTCTGCTCTCCTCAGACAGCTGGCCAGCTGTGATACCTAGCCACCTTCTCAGAGAAGCTCCAGTTGACTGTCCCTGTTAGGGCCTTGGCTATGTCCCACCACTCTTTACACTGTCCCATGCTATTTTCTAACAATGGCCAATGTGCAAATGAATCAACTGACATCTCTCTGCTTCCCTCTTACTAAAATGTAAGCACAGCAAGGACAGAGGACACTTGCTGTGAGTTCTGGGCTGGGGCTGGTCCCTCCAGCTTTTTGAGGCTGCAATATATATTCTATTGCCATTCACAACATCTAGTCCTGACACTGAGGTTGTTAACATCACAGGAAAGAGAAGAAGGAACCTGTCTAGTCATGGGGTCAGGCAGGCAAAGTCACCAAGCCCAGCATTACCTGAAGAGAGACCGTTTCTAGGACACTTGCAAGAGCACAGTTTCCTAAAGCTTGCTACACTGACCAAAAACACAAGAGTTCTGCTCTCACAAGGCAAAAGGTTCCACAATATCAAAAACACTCATGAGACAAGAACGGGATTAGAATGCTGCTGTAAGACTCGACCAAGGAAGAAAAGTTACTTCTGCCCACCATCCCGCCTTGATGAGCCCAACTCTACAGCCCAACTGGTGCCTACATACCTGCATCCCCAACGAGCCCCGGCTCCATTTCCATGCCTTCTTGTTGTGGGTAGAAGTTCTCATAGAAGTTCTGGGCTGGTGGGATGGGAGGCATCATTCCCGAATGCGGGGAGTCTCCAGGACCATAGGGCATCATCGGGGGGCCACCAGGACCCATGGGAGGACCAGGGTTCATGCCAGGACCCATTGGCATGTCAGGATGCATGTCAGGGTGCATGTCAGGATGCATATCTGGGTGCATGTCTGGGTGCATATCTGGGTGCATGTCTGGGTGCATGTCAGGGTGCATGTCAGGATGCATGGGACCCCCCATTGGCCCTGGGGGTCCCATGTTGGGGCCAGGACCCATTGGCCCAGAGGGTCCACCAGGTCCAGGAAACCTAGAGGAGAAAATGGGACTTGTGAGGAAGCTGCTGAGAAAAAGGTAGTGGCACCCAGCCCAGGACACCTGCAATGTTCACTTGAAGCCTGAGGCCAAGAGACCAAATAGGATCTGACAGCTTCAGAGAAGGGCAAGGCCCTACCAGGCCATTCTCCTGTGCTTCTTGCATACTCACCTCACGCCCAGCTTCTCAGCTAACTGCCCTGTGGGCCGCACCACAATCTCAAACAAAGAAGGGATCTTCTTGTTGTACATGTCCTGCTGTAACTGCTGCGGGGATAGTGGCTCATGTGCCGGCAGGGGCATTTGAGGTGGCCCCGGAGGAGGGGGTGGGGGTGGAGGAGGGGGAGGAGGGCCACCCTGCATGGGCCTGCCATTAGGAGAGGTGGGAGCTGGGGGCCCAGGGGGCCGTGGAGGAGTGGGCAGGAGCCCCACGCCAGGAGGTGGCTTGGGCAAGGGGTTAATGCCCTGCTTCTTCAGTTCTTCCACCTCCTTCTCGTCCTCAGCACCTGCTTCTGCATCATCAGCCAACATCTGTGGGCATCAAAGGAAATCGCACCATGTCAAACTGTGTGGAAAGCTGAATTTTCTGAGAAAAAACTTAAAACACAAGCCTGCAGAGGGCCTTCAGGGTTAGGGTCTAGGATCTAAATTCATCTTCAACTGAGCATAGTGGTACACATCTGTAATCTTAGCACTGGGGATGCTGAGACAGGAAAATATCAATCTCCCCTCACTGTCATGCTTTCCATTACAATGCCCACAGGTCCGCAATGCCCCGAGACAGATATGTTCAGCAAGGCTTCAAAACACATTGTACTTCTCACTACCAGTGAGAAAGTGTGAAAACCTGGCCAATATACTTTACAGACAGTTACCAGCTAGGATAGGCCTGGGGGCTCAACCCTATCAAGCACTGCCAGGTAACAAACTGGATCAAAGCAATCTTGCTGGCACCCAGCTCAGCACCCTTAGAGATGCTTTCTAACATGGACACGCAAGCATATTTGCCAAGAAGATAACACCCATCTGCCTTCCACAATGCAGACCTGACAGCCTAAGTAGGATGCCTGAGTCCATTCCTTACTGGGCCTTTCAATCCAGCACAATGACACGGACAAGTAAAAAACACATGAGAAAATGGCCAGATAGAACATAAACTACCTATCAGTCATTTCAGCACAGGTGGAGCACAGAGCACAGATATCTGTCCCTACACTCCTTTACAAACTTCATGCATGGCCTCCCTACTAGCAATGACCACTGCTAAAAGGCTCTTGTCTATCACGATTTCTAATGTCTAGCTATGTCCCCAAATCTTTCAGCAGAGTTGATGATAGAATGCAAAAATTACAGTCACCACCAGGTGTGGTGGCACACATACTCTGCAGACAGAGGCAGGCTAATCACTATGGATATGAAGTCAACCTGGTCTATGGTATGAGTTCCAGAACAGTTAGGGATACACAGAGAAATCTTGTCAGAAAAAACTAACCAGCCAAAAAGAAAAAAGAAAAAGAGGCATGCTTACCACCTGCATACACAAATAAGCAAGGTAAACAGCTGTCACAAATTCTAAGTTTTTGTCCAAACTGGAAATATACAAAGGTATTTCAACCAATACCTCAATCGACAAACTTAGCCATCAGCTAAGTTCAACTCTGCAGTCAATACCACTAAACTGTAGAGACCCACAGAGCAATGAGTATATGGAAAAGTGCATTACGGCATACACTAGGCAGACACACACCCGTAACCTGTACAGTTCTACTTAGAAAACACTCATTTTTCTCCTGTGATGACAGGGATCAAACTCAGGGCCTTGTGCACGAGAAGCATAGGTTCTACCACTTAGTTACCCCCTGCTCTCCATCCTTATGATTCCCTAAAAAAGTAACTAGAGGGACGCCGGGTGGTGGTGGCACACGCCTTTAATCCCAGCACTTGGGACAGAAGCAGGAGGATCTCCGTGAGTTCGAGGACAGCCTGATCTACAAGAGCTAGTTCCAGGATTGACTCCAAAGCTACACAGAGAAACCCTGTCTCAAAAAAAAAAAAAAACACATAAAAACAAACAAACAAACAAAAAAGTAACCATAGGGAAAGAAACCATAGAGGCAGTTGCTAAGGGACAGTTGGGATAGGACATTGACAGGAAAAGATAGAGGGGTTTCAGCTGTTGAGAATTCACATGTGTAGGTCTTAATTGTGCAGCAGAGATTTTGTACTCTTACATAACTCAACACCTAAGAAAGTAAGTCCTCTCCTGTGCTACGAGACTCTACCTTCTCTCTAATGGCCATCTAGCAAACCATCATGGATCAGGTGATGTAGTCTGTGTAGCCAAGTCAGCAGTTTGTAACTGGACTGGTTAAAAGATGCACCAAATACAACAGAAAAGAATTCCAGAATACTGCTGTGGCAATAGCAATAGGATTTGTGATCTTAAGATTAATTGGCTTCTTTGTGAAACTGATCTGTAATCTATATCCCTATTAATAACATTAATTTGGGTGGCTGAGTATTTTCTCATTATGGAAACCAGCAAACAAATGAGGTTATGAGAAGTGCATAAAGTAAAAACTTGCCTGCAGCGAGACGGTGGTGGTGCACGCCTTTAATTCCAGCGCTTGGGAGACAGAGGCAGGCCTCTGTCTGTGAGTTCAAGGCCAGCCTGGTCTACAAGAACTAGTTCCAGGACAGCTAGGCAGAGAAACCCAGAAACAAATAAACAAAACTTGGAATCTTGTTTGGGGCTGCAGAGATGGCTCAGAGGTTAAGAGCACTGGCTGCTTTTCCTAGAGGACCTGAGTTCAATTTCCAGCAACTACATGGTGGCTCAAAATGATCTGTAATGAGATCCAGTGCCCTCTTCTGGAATGCAGGCAGAACAGCGTGTACATAATAAATGAATGAATGAATGAATGAATGAATGAAAGCCGGCCTGCATACTTTGTCTTTTTACCCCCTCCTTTAAAGGTTTTCTATTTCTAAATTAATTTCAAAACATTTTTTCCATTCAAAAAAAAGGGAAGTCAAAAAGAATGGGAAAGAGATGAAGGGAAGGAAGGAAAGAAGGAAAAAAAGAAAGAAATCTTTGCCTGGCAGTGGTAGCTTACATCTTTAATCCTAGCACACAGTAAACAGAGGCAAGCAGATCTCTGTGAGTTCAAGGCCAGTCGGGTCTACAAGAGTTCTAAAACAGTCAGGGATGTTACACAAAAAAAGCACCATCTCAGCAGAGTGGTGGTGGCACATGCCTTTAATCCCAGCACTTGGGAGGCAGAGACAGGGGGATCTTTGTGGGTTTGAGGCCAGCCTGGTCTACAAGAGCTAGTTCGAGGACAGGCTCCAAAGCTACAGAGAAACCCCGTCTTCTCAAAAAAGAAGAAAAAAAATGAGGCAAATCCTACCCACACAGGGGACAGGGAGAGGCCTGCTTCATGTTTTTAATGCCTATTTCCACTGTTCCCATAAGCCTCATCACTTGCCTCATGGAGGCAAGCTTCCAAAAGTAGACCAGATAGCTGGAAAATGGCTCATTAAAAATTTAGCAAGTGAAACTAGGAGTCTATGCCTGCATATTTAGCACTGAGAAGAGTAGGAGGGAGCAATAAAGAGGTCAGCCTGGGCCACATAGCAAAATTACCAAAACAAAACAAACAAACAAACAAACAAAAAAACAAAGAAAAGGTAGACCAAAAAATGTAACAAAAACTTAAATAATATAGCTAATACAGTGCTGCACACCTTTAATCCCAGCACTGTATGGGGGGGGTCTCTTTGAGTTTGAGGACATTCTGGTCTATACAGCGAGGTCTAGGACTACATAAGAGACCATGTCTCAAAAATAAAAGCAAATAAATAAGTAAACAGACAAACGAGCAAAAAACACCCCCCCCCCAACCAAACTTTTAAAACTAAAACAAAGTTATAAGAAAAACTAAACCAACCCAAGAGGGATGACTGGGCTCATGCTTGAGTGTGAACACTCAACCTCCAGCAGGGGGCAGCCCTCAATCAGACACTACTGGACCTTTCCAAGAAAAACCTAAGTGACTGGATGCTGATCATCTTGCTCTAGGCAAATAGGCTCCCAAAAGGAATGGCCAAAGAGAGAGAGTATCCCCACAAATTGCTAGTTTAGAGAACAACAACAGACACCAAGGTATTGAATGTCAAATGGCACCTGCTTTGTGAGATCCTGGACCGATCTCCCTCCCTTCTCTGTTGGAGTCCCTGTGACTCAGAGAGACACTGGCATTTCCCCTCTGTGCATCTCTGTCTCTCTAAAAAACACCCCAAAGTGGCATTCCTTTCATTCTGTTGTCTCCTAGGGAAGACAGTGGCTCAGGTCTGGGGTAGGATACAGTATGACCCCCACCTCTCCTGTAGGAAGGAATTTAGCTGTTTCCCCCTAACAAAGCTTTTGTCCAGATATCCCAACTGGGGACTGATCCTGAAGAGCCCATGTCACCCTAGACATTACCTTATCTAAAAGCTCTCGTGTCTCCTCAGTCAGCGGGTCATGAGAGAACATGCAGTCGTCACCATTGATGCAGTTCCCAGTGGTGTGGTATAACTTACATGGAAAGTCACGTTCATGACTAATTAAGGCAAAAGCTTCCTCTCAGAACCCACCCCAAAGAACAAGCAACCCCCTTTGTTTTAGAAGTGAGGTGACACACTCAGGGTTGTACAGTGGCTGGCAGGTGCCATTCTCAACACTGCTTTATTTCAGAGCAAGTTCTGGCCTGCAGAGCTGACCTTGGAAAAGGTCCTCAGACTTTGACAGAAAAGGGAATGGTAAAGGATGTGTGCGGGCTTTCTTGGGTGAACATGTGGACAGCTCGGACAGTGGCTCAAAGGGGCAGAAAAAGGAGGCAGCCCAGTAAGGCCCCCAGGAGCACAGGGCAACCAGGATAGGTGGGACAGCAAAGGATATCATGCATGTAGGGGCAGTTCTCAGCCCGAGCACAGAACCCCGTGATGTAAAACTTGCACAGCTCTCGCTTCTTTGGCAGTTCGATGTCATGGCTAAAATTGCAGTGGTCTCCCTGGAATAGAAACAGGAAGAGTGAGGGTCGGGGAAAATGAGTTCTGATTCACTTGTGTCTACAGAAGGACCACAGATAAGAAAATATTCCCTAGGGAAAAGTAGACTCCCAAATGGTGCTTCCCAACCCAATGCCTGCTCCCCATCCTGCCCTGGGCACTTCTGGCCATTTGTTTCCTCCTAATTCACCTCTTTCCTTCCTCTCCCATCTGCTCTGCTGCATACCATTTGCTGTCTGACAACAAAAACTCTTAAGTCAGTCCCATGTATTTATTGTCCTTCCTAAGTGAACCCTGGTCTTGTTGGAGGAAGACTGCCTGACTAAACATACCCCATTTTCCAGCTCTCCTTGTTTATTTAGCCAATAAAATACAAGTAGAAGCTTCCAGGCAGGATTCTTCTTGACTTAAAATACATTTTCATGTTTTGAGATAAGATCTCACTACGTCTATAGCTGAACATGTAGACCAGGCTGGCCTCAAACTCAGTGATCTGCCTGCCTCTGTATCCCAAGTTCTGGGATTAAAAGCATGCACCTGGCAAAAAGCAGATACTTTCTCCATCTTTTCTTTATTCGAGACAAAGTTTCTCTGTATAGCCCTAGCTATCCCGCAACTCGCTCTGTAGACCAGGCTGGCCTCAAACTCTATAGAGATCTGCCTACCTCTGTCTCCTGGGTGCTGGGATTAAAGGTATGCACCACCACCTCGTCAAATGTCACATGTTTAAATATGAAGGAATCTAGGTCCCTAGAGAGCCACTGACCATTGCAGTAGCCTTGAACTCCCTGACTGAGACTCCTTGTTGAGTGACAAACATGTATGTGTTGAAATCAGCAGAGTTAAAACTGAGAGTAATAAGGATTATTTTATACACAACTATCTGCTAAGAATAGCTGTTTCTTCCTGACTCCTGTGGGAGCAGCACCACTCAGGCCTATCTGTCACCTGCCTGTTTTCTTTCTAGAGCAGTCACAAGACAACTGTCTTAAGTGGCCATACTTCTCTTTTGCACAACTCGGAAGCCTGAGGTTGAGTCTCCCTGGAATCTTTAATAAAGCTTCTCCAAGCCAAGTGTGGTGGCGCACACCTTTAATCCCAGCACTTGGGAAGCAGAGACAGGCAGATCTCTGTGATTTCCAGGTCAGGCTGGTCTACAGAGTAAGTTCTAGGATAGCTGGGGCTACACAGGGAAGCCCTGTCTCAAAAACAAACAAATAGTAAGTAGAAAGAAAAAAAAAACAGCTCTCCAATCCCAAAGTTCAATGGCATAACCAGAAGAAATTAACCTTTATAGATTCATTTGAGACTCTATAGACTACCATAAAGCATCCCTAAGCCTCAAACTCTCAACACGTCATCTTGCTTCCTCTCTGAGTTCTCTTACTTCTAAGAAATGAGCTGAGACTTCCAGGCTGCCCTTCCCCTCTCCAACAGTGTGCACTATGGAAGCCTGTCCGTGTATGCCACACGTCCTTGGGTGCTGCTTACCCAAGTGCATCGCCCCTCCACGAAGTACTTGCAGATGACTTTGCCTTTCTTGTCAGACTGCTGATGGGGCTTGTCATGATCACTTCGCCGGTAGCTTACACCACCGCCATCCTGTGAGTAATAGAGGAGAAAGAAGTGCATTAAGTGTATGAGAGAACAGGACAGGTACAGGCAGCTTAAGTCACCACATGCAACACAGAACTCAGACTGGAAAAACTCTGGTGCTCCATATGCTATGTAGGTACACACCCCTGTTAGAGGGATCAGCCAAGCCCTTCTGAAAACTCTCCTAGAGCATTGGGGCGTATCATTTAGAAAACTTATCACCTTAGAAACTTAACAAGATGGCTGTAAGTACTGCTAAAGTGTGGTTTTAAACAGAAAGCTATACCATCAAGGCATCCCTCTGGGCAACTGAAAAATACTGATCAGCCCCTGGCTAAGGAACTGAAGGGAACAGGACAGGATCAGTCTTCAGAGAACAGCTCATTAGAAAATGACAAAAATCAGCCAGGCAGTGGTGGTACATGCCTTTAATCCCAGCGCTCAAGAGGCAGAGACAGGTGGATCTCTGTGAGTTCGAGGCCAGCCTGGTCTACAAGAGCTAGCTCCAGGGCAGGCTCCAAAGCTACAGAGAAACCCTGTCTTGAAAAACAAAAACAAAAACAAAAACAAAAACAAAAACAAAAAAAAAAGAAAATGACAAAAATCTCTGAAATAGCCTTGGTCAAAAAAAAACATCAGATCACAGATCACTGGTTAAGAGTGGTTAAGAAGTGGCAGCTCAGCAGATCTGAGTTTGAGGCCAGCCTAGTCTACAAAATGAGTTCCAGGACAGCTAGGACTACACAGAAAAACCCTAACTCGAAAAAGACAAACATGCCCATCAAAATCCTAGCAAAATTCTTCAAAGACCTCAAAAGAATGGTACTCAGCTTCATCTGGAAAAGCAAAAAACCCAGGATAGCCAAAACAATCTTGGGCAATAAAAGAACTTCTGGAGGCATCACAATCTCTGACTTTAAACTCTACTACAGAGCTACAGTATTGAAAACAGCCTGCTATTGGCATAAAAACAGACAGGAGGACCAATGGAACCGAATAGAAGGCCCAGATATCAATCCATACACACATATCTTCGAACACCTGATCTTTGATACAGAAGCAAAAAATACCAAATGGAAAAAAGAAAGCATATTTAACAAGTGGTGCTGGCATAACTGGATATCAACATGTAGATAGACCCATATCTATCACCATGCACAAAACTCAAGTCCAAATGGATCAAAGTCCTCAACATAAAGTCAGCCACACTGAACCTTATAAGAGAAAGTGGGAAGTACACTTGAACACATCAGCACAGGGAACCACTTCCTAAATACAACCCCAGCAGAACAGACAATGAGAGAAACAATTAACAAATGGGACCTTCTGAAACTGAAAAGCTTCTGTAAAGCAAAGGACACGATCAACAAGACAAAACGACAGCCTACAGAATGGGAAAAGATCTTCACTAACCCCACATCAGACAGAGGTCTGATCTCCAAAATATACAAAGAACTCAAAAAATTGGACACCAAAAAATCACATAATTCAATAAAAAAAAAAATGGAGTACAGACCTAAACAGAGAACTCTCAATAGAGGAATCTAAAATGGCTGAAAGACACTTAAAGAAATGTTCAACATCCTTAGTCATCAGAGAAATGCAAATCAAAACAACTCTTGAGATTCCATCCTGTAAGAATGGCAAGATATAAAACTGATGACAACTTATGCTGGAGAGGTTGTGGGGAAAAGGAAACACTTCTGCATTGCTGGTGGGAATGCAAGCTGGTACAATCCCTTTGGATGTCAGTGTGGCGATTTCTCAGAAAATTAGGAAACAACCTTCCTCAAGACCCAATAATACCACTTTTGGGTATATATCCAAAGGATGCTCAATCGTGTCACAAGGACATGTGCTCAACTGTGTTCATAGCAGCTTTGCTTGTCATAGCCAGAACCTGGAAACAAACTAAATGCCCCTCAGCTGAAGAATGGATAAGGAAAATGTGGTACATTTACACATGGAGTACTACACAGCAGAAAAAAATAACGACAGCTTGAATTTTGCAGGAAAATGGATGGAACTAGAAAACATTATTTTGAGTGAGGTAACCCAGACACAGAAAGACAATTATCACATGTACTCACTCATACATGGTTTTTAAACATAAAGTAAAGAAAGCCAGCTTACAAACCATGATCTCAGAGAACTTAGACAACAATGCAGACACTAAGAGAGACTTACATAGATCTAATCTAGATGGGAAGTAGAAAGTATAAAAAGACAAGATCTCCTGAGTAAATTGGGAACATGGGGACTTTGGGGGAGAATTTAAGGGGAGAAGGGAGAGGCAGAGAGGGGAGCAGAGAAAAATGTAGAGCACAATAAATATCTATAAAAAATGTATAAAAAACAAAACCAAAAACTGCTTGTAATTCCAATCCTAGAGTATACAATGTCCTTATCTAGCCTCTGTGGGTACCAGGCAAAACATCCATTCACAAAAAAATAAATTAAAAAACAAAACAAAGCTCACAGACATTGGTCTGACAGTTGGGAAACCTGTGTGGGACCAAACTAGGCCCTCTGAATGGGAGTGACAATTATGTGGCTTGATCTGTTGGGGTAGGGGACTGGCAGTTGGACCAGGACTTATCCCAGGTGCATGAACCGGCTTTTTGGAGCCCATTCCCTATGGTAGGATACCTTGCTCAACCTTGATACAGGGGAGGGGCTTGGTTCTGGCTTAACTTGATATGCCTGACTTTGTTGACTCCCCAAGGAAGGCCTTACCCTCTCCGAGGAGTGGATGGGGGAGGAAGGGGAAGAGCGGGAGAAGGGAGGAAGAACTGGGAAAAGAAATAATGTTCTAGGGGGCTAGAGAGATGGTTCAGTGGTTAAGAGCACTGACTGCTCTTCCAGAGGACCCGAGTTCAATTCCCAGCACCCACATGGCAGCTCACAACTGTCTGAAGATCCAGTTGCAGAGGATCTGACACCTTCACACCTATGCACATAAAATAAAGCTAAACAAACCATAAATATTTAAAAAAAAGAAAAAATGTTCTAAAACAAAAAGAAATATAAATAAATTAAAAAGAAAGGAAAACAAAACTAACAAAATCCACATTAGATCACAAGAGTGTACTCACGCCCATGTCATCATCATAGTAGTCTTCATCGTCGTTCATCCCGCCCTTGCTCATTCCCCCTCTGCTGCCTCGGCCTCGGCCCCGGCCCATCCCCTTCCCTCGGCCTCCTCGGGAACCCCGGCCTCGGCCTCGACTTAAGCCTGTGGAGAAGGAGATAAAGGAGTTTTACTTCCCATGTTAAGCCAGCAGCTGCTGAAGCCCAGCCAACCTGCCTCTGCAGAGCCCTTGCCCACCTCGACCTCGGCTGTCTTTGGACCTTCGGTACTGGTTCAGCTCCTTAGAGTAGTCATCGTAATCATCATCTCCCATGGGCTCCTCGCTTTCTCCATACTGGGTTCAAGAAAGAAGAGGACAGAAGTGTCATGTGAGAGACAACATGGACCCTAACACTGAGCGGCCTCATGGCTGGTGTGCAGTCCCAAGCCCTATTCTTGCAGCCTTCTCACTTCAGACTTCCATCCCATTGGGCAGAGCCAAGCACAGGGTTTCTGGGCACAAGGAACAGTAGGATTTCAAGAAATGGGTCACAGCCTGGACTTAGAAGACAGGGACAGAATAGTATGTGTTCTGCACACTCCTGTGCCTGCCTCAAGAGGTAGAAGACAATCAGAGAAGTCCTGCCTTCTCAGGTCAGGGTTTTTGCAGTCTACCATCTGGTGCCTTTCCTGCTTCAGCCACTGAAGGTTTTTTTTTCTCCCCCCCCCCACAAAGAATCTTTTAAACACATGTGTGCCTGTCATAAAGCCTTTCCTTCGGAAAACTATGAGTCCTCCTACTTTAGTCTCACAGTACCCACCCGTAATACTTGCAGCCCAGGGAGCCTGCCAGTCACACTGCATCACCAAGAGCTACAGAAAACCTTACTTCCATCTCCTCCTCGTAAAAGTCTTCTTCATCCTCCAGGTGCTCTCCCACAGAGCCTCTGCCCCGGCCTCGACTGCCCCTGCCCATTCCTCGGCCTCGAGATCCTCCTCGGCTTCCACGGCCCCTGTAGCCCCTGCCCCGGCCTCGGCTACCTGTGGAGTGAATGAGAACCTCACATGATTACAGATGACAACAGCAAGAAAGAGAGAAACCCATTTCCTATCTGTTACTTGAAGCCTACCTACTCCTTCAGGGAGCCTTCCAGCTGGCCCAGAGAGACTACAGAGCCCCTTGAAGGGGCTCACCCAGCACCCTGGATACATAACTCCTGACCTCACTAGCTGGCCTCCTGACATCTATCTACGCAAGGCTGCACTGTCCAAGACAGCAGTTACCAGCCCTCTGTGGCTACAAAGCCTAGGACATGTTGCTGGTTCCAAATGGGAAATGCATACTAGATTTTAAAGTCTTAGGGAAAACAGGGAGGGAGAGACCACCAAAGTCTAGGCATCTATTGTAGAGTCTGGTAAGGATGATAAGACAGAGTAATAAACAAGTGTGACCTGATTACTCTTACTGTACTCATGTGGGTGGCCCACTGCATCACCAGTCTGTGATTTCCACAAAGCGGAGCCTGGTTCAAAGGTGTCCAGGAGGAAACAAGAACAGCCATTCTTAACAATAACCAGTATCATAAGTCTAAGAACCTGAGCTGGAACTTTAGAAACCTCCTCCAGCTGTCTTGTCTTTTCTGGCTCCACAAGATTGCCTGATTTGTTATCCCCTCCCCGCATCTTCCCTCAAGCCTCCACCTACAAGTTCATGAGCTTCCTAAAGTCCAAAGTTCAGAGGTAAACAAAGTGGTCAGGTGACAGAAAGCCCAGGACTTGGGGTGAGCAGAGCTGGGGCCACCAACTGTCCTCACTCTGGCCCAGATGAGAGACATTAGCTGTCCCTGCTCTGTGCCTATTGTTTCAAGGTTGTCCCTAGCCCTTATGCCCCAAGTATACAGCTTCTGTGCACTTTGGCCATCTCTGAGAGACTGCCTAGCTCTCCTAGATATGAGGCTCAGTAAAGGCTGGCTGAAAATCTGACTTTGACTTTGCAAATCTTTGACTCTGAAAATCTCCACTCTCAGCAGCAACACTGGCCCTGGAAGTGGGAAGGGAGGGGAGGGGAGGGGAGGGCTCACCTCGGCCCCGGCTGCTGCCCTCCTTGGCACGCCGGTACTGGTTCAGCTCTTTAGTGAAGTCATCATAGTCTTCCTTACCCATGTCCTCCTCTTCATCCCCCTCATACTCTCCATACTGCTCATTCTCATAGTCCTCGTACATGCTGTAGCCCTTGCTATCCATCTTGGAGTAGGACTTCTTGGGCAGGGGCGCGTTGTGTGATGAGGAGTACTGCTGGTGGGACTGGGTTCAGGAGAGAGTAGGGAGAGGGTGAGCCAGTACCCATGGACCATTAAGGTCCACCTCAATTCTCAGAACTTGAACTTGTGCATTTGTCTGGGTATTTCTTTCTTTCTTCTTCTTTTGTTTTGTTTTTTTGTTTTGTTTTGTTTTTTCAAGACAAGGTTTCTCTGTAGCTTTGGGGCCTATCTTGTAACCAGTTCTTGTAGACCAGACTGGTCTCAAACTCACAGAGATCCGCCTGCCTCTGCCTCCCGAGTGCTGGGATTAAAGGTGTGCATCACCTTTAATCTGGGTATTTCTACTGTCTGTGGTTTACCACTGGTTCTTGGCCTCTCTGCAGACCTGTTTACTCTGATAGGCTTGGGACAGCAATGGGTCCACACATTTGTCTTTAAGAAAAGGGTCAATGTTTGGAAGAAAAGGAGAAACAACAGGAGCCCAACCTACTGAACCAAGGACAAAGATGCAGAGCAAGCACACCTAGGGAAGAGCCTGGAGGCAGGAATAGGAATCCAAGCTTGTCCAAGACTGACCTAGGACATTGGATTCCAATGAATGGCCTACTATGGCCATGGCAGACTATTTCCAAAGACACTTCCCAGGATGCCTTTCAAAAGGTGAACAAAGTATATCACGTTTAGACAATGAGGCCCACCTTGGCAATGGAAGCTGTAAGCAATGAAACACTTTACTGTTTTGAGACAGGGTCTTACGTAGTTCAGCATGGTCAGGAACACTAATTTTTTTTTGTGGGGAGAGAATTCAAGATAGGATTTCTCTACAGAGTAAATTCTAGGACAGTCAACAATATACAGAGAAACTGTCTCAAAAACCAAACAAACAAAAAAGACAGGGTTTTCTCTGCATAGCCCGAGTTGTCCTATAACTCACTATGTAGTCTAGGCTGGCCTCAGAAATCTGCCTGCCTCTGCCTCCCCAGTGCTAGGAGCTCCTAGCCTGGAACTCTTCATCTGTCTCCATACCCTAAATGTTAGGATTAGAGGCCTGAACAATAATACCTGGCTTTAAACACACATTGTTAAGGTAGGGTATGATGGCCCATGTCTATAATTTCATCCACATGGGAGGCTGAGGCAGAAAAACTGTTTGAGCCTAGAGTTCATGATTGCCCTAGGTAACAAAGTAAAGACTTAGTCTCAAAACTGAAAACAAAACAAAAACAAACTTAAAAAAGCAACCAAACAAAAAATTTCTTAGCATATTATTAAAGGAAAGCTAGGCAGTCCCTACATGCTATAAAACATTTGATTTGGTGGCTTTGATGACAGGGCTGAGGAGTAGGGGGCATTGGAACAGCAAAACTACTATAACAAAGCTCAGAGAGCTACAGAAAACTAATCCAAGCAAGGAGTACAAGTGGACACTAAAGCGCCATCTACTCATGAGCTGTAACACTGTAGCATAGGCGTGCAACATTTCAGTGACACCAGCTCAACTCTAAAAGGAAATCCACACTCACTACAGGAAAATGTAAGACAGCTACATAGACACACAAGCACTCAAGCTTCTGTAGAAATCAGTCTGGATTACTGTACAGGACCCTCCGTCATCTGCTGTGGTGCATGATGCTGTTACAGGAAAGGTTTTAAAAAGTGCCACCATGGGGCTGGAGTGACAGCACAACAGTTAAGAGCACTGGTTGCTATTCCAGGGAACTTGGGCATGGCTTCTTGTACCCATATAGAGACTCACAACTCTAAGTAGCTCTAGTTTCAGAGAATATGACACTCTTCTGGCCTCTGTAGGCACCAGACATGCATATGGTAAACAGACAGACATACAGGAAAACAGTCACATAAAATATTTTTTTAGTTAAAATAAAAAGGTGCCATCACATCCTGTGTAACCTGTGATTTTATTTAATTATTTTATTTCTTTGTTTTTCAAGTCAGGGTTTCTCTGTGTAGTCCTGGCCATCCCGAACTACCTTTGTAGACCAGGCTGGCATTGAATTCAAGAGACCCGCCTGCTTCTGCCTTACAAGTGCTAGGATAAAGACATGCACTACCATGTCTTTAAATAAATAAAGATGAACTGGGCAGTGGTGGTGCACACCTTTAATCCCAGCACTCAATAGGCAGAGGCAGGCAGATCTCAGTGAGTTTGAGGCCAGCCTGGTCTACAAGAGCTAGTTCCAGGACAGGCATCAACCCTACAGAGAAACCTTGTCTTGAAACAAACAAAACAAAACAAAAAGCTACAGAGAAACCCTATAAGGGTGGGGATGGAGGAGATAAGTAGTTTTGTTGGAATAGGTGTGGCCTTGTGGAAAGAAGTGTGTCACTGTGGAGACTGGCTTTGAGGTATCATATACACTCAAGTGTCTCAGTTCACTTCCTGTTGCCTGTTGATCAAAATGTAAGACTATCATCTCCAGCATGGCACAATGATAATGATGGACTAAGCCTTTTAAATTTTAAGACACCCCATTAAATATTTTCCTTTATAAGAGCTGGCATGGTCATGATGTCTGTTCACAGTAATAGAAACCTTAAGACAAACTCTATTTATTATTATTGATTTTTATATGTAGGAGTGCTCTGATGCATGTGCATCTATGTACCTCCCAGAACTGAGGCACACATACTTGTAGCCACCATGCAGTTGTTGTATCCTCTGCAAAAACAGTGTAAGTGCTTAACCAATGAGCTATTTCTCTACTTCTGGGTTCCAAGTCTTGATCTTTTGCTTCAACCTTCCTAAATCTGGGATTACTAGCTTGTGCTACCATTTCCTGGCTTTTACTTTCTATTAGTTATTATTAGTATTAGTAGTAGTGGCAGTGGTGCTGGGATGAAGTCCATGGCTATGAGTACAAAGGCAATCACTATAACATTGAGCTACATCCCTAGCCCTTATTTGTTTTTTTTCCATACAAGTTTTTCTGAAAGAGAAAGTATACTAACACACCAGACAAATGATGTAAATTTATGGTTAAGTTGAGAGTTGTAATGGGGTATTTAACTTCTAACTAGGTAGCCCTGGAGATAATTTACTCTACTGGCCACTTCATTCTCTTGCCAATTTCCCACAAAAGGTCACTTTTGAACAGTAGAAAGCAGTCATCTGTGACCTGGATGAGTTAGACATACTGAGTCCTGCCAAGTCACGGTGGAAACTTGACAATGGGCAAACTCAGGAGCAGGCTTTGTGGAGAAAGTCACTGCTCTGACTCAAGGCCTTTTTTCCAACTCTCTGTTTTTTCATCTATAAAATAGGAATGAAAACAATAGCCACTGTCTCTGGGCTACCATTCACTTGTCCCACACCAAAATGTATGTGACAGTGTCACTCACCGGTGCGTACGGTGGGCTATAGTCCCGGTACTTGCGGTGACCCTTCTCACTGGGGCTGAAATCTGAGTCATCTGAGAAGTCCGAGAAATCATCACTGGAAGAAGCATGGCGCTGCAATGAGAAAAGGCACTGTGACTGTGCTGCTGCTGGCGGGTCACCTTGGCACTGCCTGCCCCAGGACAAATAATGATGGAATGTGCCTGGAAGGGCTCTGTGCTCAGCCTGTAAACTCCTCACCTGGGGGCATTCAATGGCAACAGAGCATAAGCTCCAGATTTTATAAACTGTCCCCAGGCTCTGGATGCTAGAAAAGGTTGTTACTAAGAGTGCCCGTTGGGCATGCAGGTGGACTCTGAGCCAGCAGTGGAAGTGTGGGGAACCCTCTGGGACCTACTTTGTGCTTGGATTTCCGCCTTTTCTTCGACCTCCTCTTCTCCTTCTCCCGTTCCTTCTTCCGCTTCCGTTTCAGTCTCCTGTGAGACTTTTCCTCATCCGAGTCGCTGTGGTGCTTCTCACCCTTCTCTTTCCGACTCCTCTCTTGTCCCCCTGGGGCATCCTGGGTCTCCTCAGCCCCATCATCTTCCAGTTCACCTTCTTCCAACTCACCATCCTCCCTGCAAACCAACCCCCAAAACACTGTGAACTCAGGAATGGCAGGGGGCCTTTTGAAAGCTCTAAGCTGGTGAGCAAATGACAGCAGAGAGCCCAGACAAGGGGTGTACAGCTCTAATGGCTAAGACAAGCCTCAGGAGGTTACAGAGCCAACTCTCATCCTTCTGCAAAAGGGGCTGTGTCTGTGAGTTTAACTGGGTCACAAGAGGTGGAGGGCTTACCACAAGCAGGCAAACAGTACAGCTCAGTGGTAGGGTGCTTACGCTTGCGTAACACACAAGAGGCCCTGAGTCCCAGTCCTAGCACTCAAAAAAATAAAGTCAGGCTAAGCCAGGCATGGTACTACTAGCCTTTAATCCAAGTACCAGGGAGGCAGAGGCAGGAGGATCTCTGAGTTTGAGGCCAGACAGGTCTACATAGGAGTTCCAAGCCAGTCACGGCTACATAGTGAGACCTGTCTCAAAACCCACACAGAAAAACAAAATAAAAACCAAAAATAACCCACTAGTGAAATAAATAATAAAAAAGAAAGGTACTATGCTCACACAGACAAACCTACTTCAGGATTCGCCATCATTCAAGAGCCTAAGTGTTCTCAGCACAAAAGCAGTATGTCCTGTGACGGCCAAGGAATGTGTTCCTGGGTATTGCCATAGGCTAAGTGGTCTAGCTGACCAGCTCCCACAAAGCTATTCTTTACAGCATTACTGAGACCTACTGGACCACCCAAGTTCATCTGCTGGGAACCCCAACTGGCACACTCTGGTTTATGGAGAAAAACAGCCGACTTGTTCCATTAGGGACCAAGATGGTAAGAGTCAGTCCCACTTCTGCTGGGCCCTCTCCCAGCTGACTTCTCTCACTGTGCCTCGAGGTAATCTTTCCACACCTCTTAAACAGTTTTCCTAACTTTTTCAACTCCCTGAGTCACCCAGTGCTCAGCACTTTGTAAAGTAAAGGCACTCTCTCCTAGCCTAACAAATTATGAGTCACCAAACAGTCTAAATAGCTATAGACAGGCTGGAGGGAGGGGACAGGTATATATGGGTGGAATCAGGGGAGGGTCAAGAAAGTAGCAGGTGGGAAAGGAATCCAATGATCAAGACGGACCCACAGACACAGGTGTTGCTAAGTATAGGAGGTGGGGGAATGGAAAATCTTTCAAATTTAACTGGGAGTCATGGCAGACAGATCTCTTTGAGTTTGAAACCAGGTTACATAGTACCAGGCCAGTAAAAGCACTCAGTGAGACCCTGTTTGGGTTAAAAAAAAAAAAAAAAAAAAAGGTTTTAAAAGTTCTCAGCCCTGTCTGCTAGCACACACATCCCAGTACTCAGGAGGCAGAGACAGGGAGATTTGTTTAAGATTCAGGACAGCCTAGTCAACATGGTGAATTCTAAGACAGTCAGAGCGACAGAGACCCTCTGCCAAAAGGCAAACAACAAATGAGCAGTGGTGGCCCATGCCTTTAATCCCAGCACTGGGGAGGCAGAGGTAAGCACATCTCTATGAATTCGAGGCCACCCTTGTCTACAGAGTGAGCTCCAGGTCAGCCAGCACAGGGAATACATAGAGAAACCCTGTCTGTCATGCTCTCTCTCTCTTACACACACACACACACACACACACACACACACACACACACAAATAAATAAATAAGGCAAACAACAAAACAAATTATTTTATAGCTCCCTATGTTCCTCATAAATGACAACAGAAAGGTCTTTGAATGGGCATAAAAGTCCCATACACTGCAACTAATAAGTGTCAGAGATTATATGATAATAGCGGCAAGAGTAAGAGAATTGAAGTTGAACCTGGAAGACTGCAGGATAAAAGTCAACCTGGATTACCTGCCTAGCATGCACACTCTCGGGTCTATCCCACATCACACCCAAAAATAATTTTTTAAAAATGCAACAGGCCTGGAAAAAGCTAACCAAAACAAGGGAATAGGTAACAACCCCCCAAAGAGGCTTTACAGAAGGAGGTAATAACCACTTAGAAGCCCGGAGGGTTATAAGGGGCTCCAAGGGAAACAACAGCCTCTTTTCCCAGCTCTCCCCAGCCCTTCCACAGCTTCAAGAGGAGCTTCTCTAATTAATCCAGAGCCCAATTCAAAGGATCCAGGCCTGGCTCAAACCCAAGAGACCTAGCCCCAAAGACACACAAAGTGGAGGTCAAGGACAGCACTCAGGCAGCAAGGCACAAGGCTCCTAAAGCTTTATCAAAGGCAACCACAGTGGGGAGGGAGGCCTTGTGTACCTCAGAGGCTTCCCACCCAAGCAGCTCAGCTGCACCAGAAGACACAGCCAACTCTGGGGCAGGGCAGAGCAGCATTCCTGTCAAGTGAGGCGCTCTGCAGGTTTAGCTCAGAACCTGTGGCAATGAGTACACTTGACTAGGAAAACTGGTTTGGTCTCAAGGAAAAAGCTGTTCACTCTGTGTGGCGTGGTCAGTAGCCTGCAATGATGGAAGCAAACTCACCTAATATCTCTGATGGGAATACCGTGGGTGGGTAGGACCACACCTCAGAGAAACGAGGGAGGGGCAGTGAGAGCCTAGGGGCAGGCTGGAGCCAGGCAGGCTCGGAATCCCTGTGGAGAAAAGCTAATGGTGTCTGGCAATGGGTTCCCAACTACCTCCTTTCCTGCAGTTTCCTTTATGAAAACAGCAGGAATCACATGAAATTCAGTCCATCTGGCAGTCTTGGATAGGTCACTAGACACAGGGCTATGCAGGTGGAAATCTTGCCCAAGGTCAGGTGAGGCTTCCACCCTGTCCCCAAGCTACAGCTGGCTCTGCTGAAGGTGCCCCACTTCTAACACCCTGGGAACATGTGATAAGATTATCCTAGGAACTCATGAGCCTTAACTGTCATCAAGAATCATACAAGCCAGGTGGTGCTGATACACACCTTTGATCCCAGCACTCTGGAGGCAGAGACAGGCAGATTTCTGTGGGTTCGAAGCCAGCCTCATGTACAGAGCGAATTCTAGGACAGGCTCCAAAGCTACAGAGAAACCCTGTCTCAAAAAACAAAACAAAACGAAACAAAAACAAAAAGAATCATACAGCTTTCCTTCCAGAAGCGTCCCCACCCTAGGAAGACTTCAGCCCAAAATTCTCATCAATAGTGTTGCTAATAGCTCCAGGCAAATCTGAGCTCAGCAAGAGCTACATGCACAAGTTTCTACAAAATGTTTGAAATTTTGTTTTCCTAGAATGGAGAAACACTTAAAAAGAGATTTTTTAGAAATATAGCCAGGCATGGCAATCTGTGCCTGTAACCCCACTTAGAGGGCTGAGGCAGGAGGATCCCTAGCTCAGAGCCAACCTGGGCTACAGATCAAGATCTTGTCTCAAAATGACAAAATTATAAAAAATAAGTTAAAAGAAAACTGTTTGTGACTTAGAAGAGGCACCGGGAAGGTGACACTAGATTGGTCACTATATCTACAGACCCATATGATTTATGCCACCGTCATGCTGCAGATGCCTCCCCAGCTAAGAGGTGTATCAGGTCTCACTACTTTCCTGCAGACTATTCACAGAAAGGAAGGAAGCCCACTGAGAGAGGGCGCATATCCCACGGGCCATGGACAGAATACAGCTGGCAGGTTTACGAAATGGCACTATTAATAGGCTGCCAGAAAAATTCATGTCAGAGTGGGATTAAACACCGAGGGAGCACGCTTAATAGACTGTGACATAATCCCCCAAGAAAAGTGGGAAGCCCCACTGCACTAATAGTGTCAATCCAGACTGCCAAGCCCTCTAGAGACAGGTGCTCAGGGGAAAAGGCTACTGCTGCTGCCAAGACTGCCTTTCTCCCTGGCCTCTAGCAGTTTACCAGCCTGCAGCCAGAGCCACTCCCAGGCCCCCTAGACTGATAGGAACCAGCCATCCCAGGAGGCTGCCTGGCCAGCAGATAAAAATGAGAGGACAGACAACACTTTGCTTCCTGCAGCTTTGCCTCCAATCTCCTGAACAAAGCTTCCAAGGCATTCAAGTTTCTATTTTTGGAGCTCACAGCAGCTCCTCTTTGGTCAAAGAATACACCTAGATGCCCAGTCTAAGCAACACAACACTTTCAGGGTTTAATTCCCCAGAGTCTTTCCCAAAAATATTCAGTAAGGAGATCTGGAGTTCCCAAGCAGGCTCAGGAATGGGATAAGATGCTTCTTCCTGCAGACCAAGTGATACACAACCAGCTCTGCCTCTTCCCTAGAATGGGCTCTTATCTGGACAATGGGATAGCCTTATATGGATTTCCAGGGTGGAAGACAACAGACAAAGCCCTGCATAAGGAGCATTCATACAGTAAGCAACAACGTAGAAGCTACATTTGTCCAAAAAGGAGCTAGTGCACCAGATGAGACAGCAGCATCAGGAACTCAAAGTCATCCTGAGCTACAGAGCAATTTTGAGGCCAACCTGGGCCTCACAAGACCATCTCAAAAACCAGAACCCAAAGAATTAGATAGAATAGTAGTACCAGAGTACACAACATGGAGAAGCCTGAAGGAGTTGGCATGTGACCTGGGGAACAGGTATGGGTGAAAGAAACAGCCACTTCTTTGGGTGACACTGCTGACTGCCCACCAACAAATGACCATTTCATTGTGGCCATCCTCTCTCAACCAATCCTGCTGACAAAACTATCTCCATTTTTTTCAACTAATCTACGTGGAACCACAAAGCCTCAAAATGTCTGACAAAGAGAAAAAAGACAGGCAGAGCTGACAAAGACAGTGGGACCAATCAAGCTTGTTAGGAAGACACAGGACAAGGAAGCTCATAGCTCTCAGCAACTCTACAGATAAAAGAGTACTGAACCAAGTTCAAAGAAGCCAGGAGCTCACGGCTCTGGTTTACACTAGGGAACAGGGAGGACGACACATACCATGAAATAGAAGTGGAAACTCATGGAACAGTGGCTATTACCTGAAGCTCATGAGGCTGCTAGGTTAATGTGAAGGTCAGGGTTATGATCATTAAC